TCTACTATTTAACAAACTGTTTTAGAACAAACCATGGAATTTTCTTGGAGTGAGGATGAGTAAGAATAATGACTTGGACTCAATTCTAGGTTACTTTGGCTTTTATTTGCTTCTAAAGCAGGAAATAATCAGGGAAGTCTGATGTAAATCAGATAAGAAAGGAGATGGGTAGTGCAAATGAGTTAAGAAAATGCTTAAGGTTTACCTGTCTTTCCCCTTAATTATACATTTTACTCTTAACATCTCACCAAAGTTAATTGAAGTTTAGTAGTTTTGGCAGAGCCTGGGCTGCTAAATCACAGAGTATGTGGATTCACTATGTTTCCATTTTCCCAGTACTCAAGTCAGCACACAAGCAACACACACTGTCACAAAAGGCAACAACTTTATACTCAGTGACCTGCATCCCCACACCATCACTGCAGGACCTATGGGGTTCCCCTTTATGCACATTTACAAATGGCTGGGCTAATTCTACAAAGTATTCTGCTTCTTTTATTATCAATATATGTGAAAATTATTATCTGAAACAAAGAGACAATGCAGGTGCAAGGAATAAAGATGAATAATGAAAAATAATGATCCACTGTTCAGTAAAATCATTCCTAACTATTGTGATAAAAACAAAATACTTCAGATTATTTTCCCATCATAATATGGTCTGTAAAGTTTTATGATTGAGAAACTTTGTTAATCTTTTCTACAATATACTCAGCAAATGTAAGATACAAATAAATTCTATTACCACAAGTGCAATGATGACCAGACATTATATCAAGAAACTACAAAGAAAGTCCATCTGATATGGTAGCATCTTTGACATTCACTTTCTCCCAGAATAGACTGTGGCACATTGCAAAATAGATTCCCTTTAGTTCATGACTTGTTCAGTTGCAAATTCATGTAAACTACAGAACCAGTTTGGCACCTGGTGTGATCATGAGTCTACTGCTGTTTCTCTAATCAGAAAACATTCCTATTAGATAAACCATCTGGCTTGAGAAGCATCCCTTTTGCATTCAAAATGGTTTTGTTAGAATTCAGCTGAAGTACATTTTAGAAGGAAAGATGTGTCAGCAAGACCAGTCTGTTTACTAATGTAACAGTCCTCTATTAAAATATCATTTGTAAGATAAATAGCCATAAAAGGAAAATATTTCAAAATGTGAATGTAGTTACATGCAAGAACAGGAGTGGAGACAGGCATTGTCTAAAGCTACACACTGAAATCTGTTATAATTTGCCACTCATTGTCATCATTTGATCAGAGAGAACTGAATTGCGTGTTATTCTGATTGCAATCATTTTCATTGAAGTGTGACATATGACTGTTGCTTCATGACCATCAGAAAACCTGTGAGTACTAGTGTACTACTTGGTTATCCACTGAATCATTTTTATTCTTGTGGCTGTGACTCATTTTATTCATGTCCATATTCTTGAACATATTTATATTTCATATCATTTAGTCAGATATTAGCAACACAATACTATTTTAGGAATAATTCATAAGAAACCAACATATCTATCCTTAATAATTTGGATGAATTTTGGGCAATTGATGATAAATATTTAATTTTCTGATCAGGTTCCACTAACAAAAATTGTTGACTCTTAATTACAACTTAACTGTCATTAAAATATATATATAGGTGCTGAAAGGAATGCTGCCTGTTGATCTCTTTGTTTTTAATCACAGTTTTATTGTAGAAACACAATTTTACTAATGAGCTAAGCCCACACTCCTAGGTTTACTGAAATCTTTCAAATTGGGTCCTCAAACTTCAAGTGGCAACACTTAATTTGTTGTCAATAGCAAACTTACTGGTATGATGACCTGTAAGTCATTTGAATCTGAAAAACATCAACCATAACAACAAAGAGCACTAAATATAGCACTTATTTTTCCCTTTGTATCAACCAGTTCTACTTTTATTTCTTTGATTGCATCATTTTGTATCTGATACAAAAGACTAATGCAGAAAATTGTCTTGCAATGAAGAAGAACCTGTGAATTTTTGAGATTCAGTTGAAAATACAAAGAACACTTAAATGGAAATCAGAATAAAAGAAGTAGAATTTGTATGTTGGTTTGAGGGCCAAGTCAGTGTAAGAAACAGGCAACAATGAGGCATGATATTTTGAGTGAACACAAAGCAGAAATGTAGAGCACTGAAAAAAATTATCTTTTACATTATATATAGTGGGAATTGAATATGTCAAATTTAAGCTATTACTAACAGAAGTTTTGGTAATGTGAGTCATATAATTTATTATGTGCCCATAGAAATCAAATTTATTTTGCTTTTGTTTTCTTAATTGGACTGTGAACTCCTTACCTACATTGTAGTCTAGAGCACAGAGTAAATTATAGATGCCTTATATATGCAGCATTCACATAATATTTTCAAAGAATGGGTATTTTATTGAGTGTATTATAAATGATTGCTATGATTGACTTTTGTGATTAGAAACAGCGTTGTCATTGTAAACTTAAACATCAAAAATCAGTTACTGATAATGCATGAAATGTATGAAATAATTTTATTGAATTGTAAAATTATTATTGTTGAACTAAAAGAAATGCTGAAGAAGATATTGGAAGATCCCTGGAAACAACTTCTTTGAATTATCCTTTTCTTTCTATCTTGTTATTTTCTCTTAATGGGCTTTAAGTTCTCACCATTGGAAGAGCTCTTGGAAAGCACAACAGACATGGAATCATTGTCTCTAGGAAGTGGTGAGAACATACTAGTTCATATACTAGTAATGGTCTGGTTTGGGGTCCATCTACTTATATTGGTCTGAGGCCTGTTCGGACCTGGGTGACCCAGCAGGAGGTTAGTGGCAGGTCAGTAAGTGAAACCTCATTTATATTTAGTGGCTCCAAATCAGTCACATTACCACCTGAGAGCTGCTTCCTGTCAAAAGCAGTTTCATTTTAAGAGTCTCATAGGAAAGCCAACCCTATTGTGAACTGTGCATGTGAAGGATCTGGGTCATGAGCTCCTTATGAGAACCTAAGGCCTGATGGCCTGAGGTGCAGCTGAGGCAGGGATGCTATCACTGGGGATTAGCTGGAAATGCAGATTAACATTAGCAGAGAAGTTTGACTGCAAAGAGACCATAATAAATCAATTGCTTGCAGACTCTTATCAAAACCTTATTCATAAGTGGCAAGTAACAAACTTCATTTGATGGCAGATTTTATGGTGGCAGGTATCTTGCTGTACTTCAGTTGTACAGGTCCATCTGGTGGTAGGCTTTAAGTCATAAGCATTTATTTTTGTCCATATATGGCTCACCTACTACCACTTCTGTCCGTACCTGTTTCCTATATTGCACACTTGCAGTCAGTCACAGTTCTGTTAAGCCCAAAAGCTAACCATAGACAAAATGAATAATTAAAAGAAATCAATGCAATTGGAATAAGGGGAAAGACCCAAATGGTGAGAGAGCAGAAGTCTTTATGATTGACAACAAAGAGAAAGTGGAACTTAAAAGAAAACATTGAGTTCTGCTTAAATTATCTTTATTGCAATAAGTAATTCACATTCTTTAGGTCTGGTTTGTATAATAAGCAATGACTACTTGTTCAACAAAGCCATGGATCCTTCAAAATTGCTTCCTTATATGGGGAACAAGCACTCTGCATTAAAAGGAAAGACTTTGAAAGTTTCCAGAGGAAAAATTATAAACAGGGAGAACAGAAGCAATTATTAAAGGACCTCAAATTCATCAGATATCATTACTGAGACCATCAAGATTAGTGGCTAACCACACTGCTAAAGTTAAGAAACTCTGGGTACTGGTGAATAATTGATCCTACAGGTTGCTAAAATTTTTTGCCATGAGATTTTATGAAAGGCTGCACTTCAAAAGATGGCATGTGTTTTTATTTTGGTTAGCACCATACTAGATGAACTTATGAAATAACAAAGGATACTGAGGCACAATTTTTAGAGTGCACTAATAAGAAATAATGGTATGCACTCCAAGTTACAAGTCTAACTGTGTCAACAAACAATGCTTTTTTTATGTGATACGTTTTTTATATGTATGTGGATTAAGATCTGTTATGTGCACTTAAATCAACACCACATCTACAGAAGTATTCAGATGTTTGAATGATTGCATATAAGGAAATAGAATTGGTCGTTTTATGTTGGTATATGCCTGGATGGAGTATATGCCATGACTAGACATCTTTCTGACTTTACTACTTGGGTCAAAGAGGGCATATCTGAATGTGGTATACACATAGAGAAACACTAGCTAGCTAAAATATATCACCTGACCTTAAAACATTTTGCCAGATGTGACTAAAATTATCAATATCATTAAAGTACTGTACATGGTCTTAATTCTCATCTGTCTGGGCAATTCTATGAGGAGATTGATCCAAAGCATGCCTGTTTTCTCTAAGATGTACACAGAAGTGAGATGGCTTTCTAAAGGTAGATCACTGGCCAAAGTTTTTGTGTTTTGAGAGTTACTCCAAGATTTCATTTAGAAAAAGTCTTCATTGACAGCACATTTCAATGACTCAGAATGGATTGAAAATGTGCTTATTTGTGTGGCACAATCATCTCAATCAACTCAATCTGTCATTTCAAGAGAGAATGCAACTGTGTTCAAGTTGATAGATAAAGTGGAAGCATTCAAAGCCAAACTGAATTTAGGAAAGCAATACATGAACATTGGCATTTCTGATATGTTTTATAAATTAGCAAAGTAACAGATTTTAAAAAAGACTGAGCAAGGGTTTTCTTTCTCCCTGCTGGTGCACGATCACCTATCTCAGCTTTCAGAAGACTTTAACATTTATTTGTAGCCACAAAGAACCTCAAACTCATAAGGAATGGATTCACAACTCATTTGTGAATAAGCCAGGTGTACCAACTTTGACTGTGCTAGAAGAGGATGAACTTCTTGAAATCACAAATGATGGTTGCCTTAAAAATATGTTTGAGACAACTTAAAATCTTTCTATGTTCCAGATTAAAGTCAAGTTGGAATATCCTGAGAGTGCTATGAAAGCACAGAAGAGCTTGCTTCCGTTGCCAGCATCCTGTCTTGATGAAGCAAGGTGTTCTGCATTGAAAGCAGCCAGAACATGATTATAGAATAATTGGCCATAAGAAACACACTTTGGATGTTACTGTTGCCCATCACCTCTAGGACCTGGTTTCAGGAAAGCCAAGCTCAGAACTCCCACTTATCATGGATTATGGTGAGTTGCATAGTTATTTTATTATATACCACAATTCAATAATAATAGAAATAAAGTGTGAAATGAATGTGACTTGCTTAAATCATCCCCAAATCAGTCTACATCCAGTCCTTGGAAAAATTACCTTCAACAAAACTGGTCCCTGATGTCAAAAAGGCTGAGAGACCTCTGCTGTATATTCTTTGGAAATGGTATGTATCATATGAAATCACAAATAGGTGTTGTGATACCCTGCCATCAAACTACTAGCAGAACATTCTCATCAGATTTGTCCAGTAATAATCTTTTTAAAGTTTTGTTTTGAAAGAATGTAATCAAGTACAGTCAAACTGCAATAGGCAGAATACAATTTATCAATATTTCAGAGTTTGGAAGGAGCATAAAAAGGCAAGATACATTAAAACAGATATGCCTATGGGGAAAAAAACCCCAGATATGCCTGAAGCATTTCTCCATGTGTAGGTATGTGTGAATGTGTGTGCATATATGGGTGTGTGTATGTGTCAATGTACTGGTATGTTATGTAAGTTTTTATATCCATAAATAATATAGAAAAAGTTTAAAGTTAAAAACTTGTAGACTACTCAATTACAATTTACATTTTCTTTTAAGGAATACCTCAATACTCTTTTAAGGAATACCTCAAATTGCTTAGCAAAAACAACAAAAACCTCCAGAAAACAATAATCTATTTCTGATTAACATTTAGATTAATAAAATAGATGAATATTGCTTCTTGAGCATTTATGTATGCCAGATTCATTCACAAATGTTTATATATTCATGTTGTATAATTTATTTCTCAACATACTTCTGAATGGTTTCTATAGATATGATAACCACCCCAGAGATGGCAATGCTCCTGATGGGTCTATGAATTTAAGCACTACAAGTCCCAGATACGTCTGATTCAAGTTAAGAAACAAAGTAGGCTTTTAAAAATAGTAAGGGACCATGAGAAATTGATCCAGCAGGTCCTAGATGATGCAAAGAGTAACATAAGACTGATAGGAATCCATGAAAAATCAGGAGAAAGTACAAATGACATAAAAAAACCTGTTCATAGAATTAATGACAGAAAACTTCCATAACAGAGTGAAAGAATTTGACATACAGATCAGTGAGGCATATAGGACACCAACTAGCCATGATAAAAAAAAAAAATTCTACACCTAGACATATAATAAAGATCCCTGAAACCCAACAGAAGAACAAAATACTATAAGCAGTTAGAGAAAAGAAACAAATCACACACAAGGGGAAGCCCATCAGAATCACAGAAGACCTTTCAACACAAACCCTCATGTCCAGGAGAGCCTGGAGTGAGGTATTTCAAGCCCTAAAAGAACACAACCTCCAACCTAGACTGATGTATCCTGCAAAATTATCTTTCAAAATTGATGGGGAAATAAGATACTTCCACGACAAAGAACACCGAGAATTTTCATCAATACCAAAGAAACACTCCAAACAATTCTAAATTCAAAATCCTAGAAAAAGAAAATGAAGGTCACAACTCCATTAGGCCTAACAAAGCAAATCCACCAGGCAAGGCAAGAAATTAAAGGGAGAGGGGGAGAAAATAAGAAATAAAAGGGCCAACAACAGGAAAATATCATGACAAGGAAAAGCCAATACATATCAGTTATAACCATCAATGTTAATGACCTCAACTCACCAATCAAAAGAAATTGACTGGCAGAATGGATTAAGAAACAAAATCTAACAACATGCTGTATACAAAAAACCCATTTAGTTCACAAAAAAATTCATGGACTGAATGTAAAAGGATGGAAAACAGTTCTCCACATGACAGTACCCCAGAAAAAAGTGGGGGTAGCTATCTTATTTGCAGAAAAATAGATTTGAAACCAAAACTAATTAAGAGAGACAAAGAAGGACACTACATCCTTGTAAAGGGAACAATCCAAGGGGAAGAGATGACAATCATAAATATATATGCACTAAATACTAATCCCCCAAATATACAAAACAAATATTAATGGACATGAAAAACCAAAAAAGCACTAATACAATTGTAGTGGGGGACCTCCATACCCTGCTGTCACAAATAGACAGATCATTTAGATAAAATATCAACAATGAAATAATAGAACTGAACCAAGCTTTTGAAGAAATGAAGTTAATAGATGTCCACAGAGTGTTCCACCCCACAAAATCAGAATATACATTCTTTTCACCTGCACACAGGTCATTCTCCAAAATAGATGACATGCTACCTCATAGAACATGTTTAAGTAAATGCAAAGGAGTAGAAGTTATTCCATGTATATTATCAGATCATAGTGTAATTAAACTGGAGATCAATAGCATAAGAAACTGCAAGAACTGCACAAGCACATGGAAATTGAGTAACATCCTCCTGAACAACAAATGAGTCACAGAGGAAATTAAAGATGAAATTAGACAGTTTCTACAATTAAAAGATAATGCCAATACAACATACAGGAATCTATGGAACACAATGAAAGCAGTTCTATGAGGGAAATTCATAGCAATAAATACTCATATTAGGAAAACAGAGTGAGCTCAAAAAAACCCTAATGCTGAACCTTAAGCTCCTAGAAAAAGAAGAGTAAGACAAACCCAAAGCTCATACAAGGGAGGAAATTATAAAGATCTGAGCAGAAATCAGTGAAATGGAGACTAAAAGAACAATACAAAAAATTAATGAATCAAAGAGTTGGTTTTTTGAGAGAATAAATAAAACTGATAAACCCTTAGCCAACTTTATCAAAAAAGGAGAGAAAAGACTCATGTTCATGCAATAAGGAATGAAAAAAGTAAAGTCACAACAGATGCAGCAGAAATCCAGAGGATCATCATACCTACTTCAACAACCTGTACTCTAATAAAATGGAAAACACAGAAGAAATGGAGAGGTTCCTAGATACATAAGAAATAAAGTAGGATGTGAGTGAGACTTCTAATACTTTGCTTTATTTTTGGATTCCTTTTATTTTCCTTTTTGTTAGCATTTATATATATATTTTTTTCTTTTTCTTTTTTTTAGCATTTATATAATTTTTTGTTTTAAATTCTTTTATTGGTACATTGTAGGTATACAACACAATTACATTTTTCATTGGCAATTGGACCTTTACATAATGCATCTTGGTTCTTATTGTTTCCCCATTCCTAGCCCTCCCTTCACGTCCTCCACCCTTCCCTATTTACAAAGACTTTATTTCCATTTTTTCCATTTCTCATCATTTTTTCCTTTCCCTTCTTTCCTTTCCCCTGACC